TTTGAAAGTTATGGGGACATAAGAGTCACCAGGGGAAGCAGGCGCCGGCAGGCTGAGGCGGGGCCCTCAGTGGAGCCTGGAAGGCAGGTCATTCTGCTGAAGACAGTCCGGGAGCCAGGGGGAGGCCATCACTGCCCTCAGGCCCGACGGGAGGGAGCTCTCAGCACCGGGCTCTCCACTCCACCTTCTGAACCTGTGTCCCCAGCTCTGGCTGCACTCGGGGTGACACTTCTGCGCGCCCTTCCGACACGGGGGGTGCAAGGTCTCCACGGCTGCCTGCGCGACAGATGAGACGCGCTCGGTCTGTCCTCTCAGTTCCTCAGCTGGTTTCTCCTGCCAGCTCCCGTCTCCAGACTGAACAAGGTCAGCCGCTCCCGCACCGGGCGGCGAGGGAGTTCGGACTCGTGTGCTCCCTCTGGCCAACACACAGGACTCCTCCCCTCCACTCGCTGTGGCCTTGCTCTCTCCTCCTCTTCGCTCTCTCTGCCTCAGTTCCCCAGTATTTGTACATTTTATACTACCTTTCAAAACTGCTTAAGATCTTCTATGAAACAAGGTCAGGGGGTGTTGTGTTGTGTTGTGTGTGTGTGTGTGTGTGTGTGTGTACAGGGGTGAACAAAGGTAGGTTCACAGTGGTTCGTACGGAAAATAATACTATAATTAACAACTAATAATACAAGAATAAACTGTTAGCATACGCACAACTGTAAACCTACTTTTGCCCTACCCTGTATCTATAAATGGGTAATTTAATACAGGTTAAAAACTGGATGGCAAAAGCAATGAACTATGAATAACAAGCTAAGGTTTTTACCTTGAAGCTACAACTATATTGCCACTTGACTAATACATATCACAATCTAATTCTCCAAAAATTTTAATTTACATAATGCCTTTCTTAAAGATTTTTTTTTGAGAATTAATGGGTTTGAAAGCACTTGGTCATTTGTGAAGTTCTGTATAAATTAAGAAAGATGATTACATTATCTTATTCATTGTGTATTGCTATCACCTCATGTTTTAATATGTATGAGCAAGTGAGCTTGGGCCAGACGAGCAAGAGCGTCTGCCAAACTTCACCGGCATGTGTTCCAACCACGTCTACATTCGAGTAGAAGATATTACCAAAAGTTTTCACAACTGACAGAAAAGCTATCATCTGAACACAATGAGAAAAACCAAACTTCTGTATCAATCCTTTCAACAAATTTACAATTTGTAGCTTAAACTTTAAATGTGATTTGAACAAAGATGTCAGAGAACAAAGAAATTCAGTAAACAATATAATTGGGTGCATAAATTCACCACTCATTAAATGACATATTAAGCTGTTCTATAATTAATTAACCTGAATAAATAAAAGAATAATCAAGCAAATATACTTGAATTAATAAAACTGACTACTGGCCTACAGCCACATACAGAGGTAAGCCTAGCTAAAACTGAAAACTCATAATAACAATGCAATTTTATTTTAATATGCAATCTGAGAAATAAGTGATAAGATGCCAACAATAAAGACAATCTTAGAAAAATTACCACCTTAAAAGTTTTAAAATTCTGAACTGAAAGCTAAAACCCAGATCCATATCAGAATCACAAGCACACTGGTCAAGGTAAAAACAAAAGAAAAGAAAACAAAACCCAAGAAAAGCAAACTCAGGTCAATCAGCATTCCATGATGCTACTTCGCCTTGGCACTCAGAGTGAATCTGATGTGCAACCCAAGCAAGGCAGAATACTTTCAATTTTTTAATATTCAATGACTTCAGCACATACTATATTAGCTCTCAATTGAATTAATACTTTAGATATGAAGTTCACCTTTATAACATTGACTAAAAATTATTTAATATTTTAAAAAGTAAACCAAAATTTTTTTACATATGAAAATGATATCATCCTGTATGTTTTCCACATATAAAAATACTTACAAATATATATTAACTAATTTCTTATAACTATATTTTGGGTTTTCAGATTATTATTAAGATGAAGAGACCCACAGAAAACTAACATTCTCTGAATACCTAAACCACAAGCATTTTGCTGGGTGCTTTGACAAATATTATCTTATTTTAAAAGAATACTAAAAAAAGTTTTACATCTTTTTATGATCTATCAACCAAAGCCACTGAATATTGGTGTTAAGCAACATTACAGAAATTACCTAAGTTAAAACCTATAGCATTTTTTTAAAAAGGGTAAAGGAAGAGAAAGAAAAGGAAAAAATATATACAAAGTCACATAAAGGTTTAAAAACAAGTGTCACAGACTGGACCGCAGACATTCACACCGGCACTGTCTGGGTTTCCTAGTTAGTGAAAGGCAAGCACCTGTCAGCAGAGGATCCCACGCACTGGAAGGCACCTAGCACATGGCATGGGCATGGCAGATTTTCAGTGAAATAATGTTAACTTCTGCTGATATTTATGTTGTTCATTTATCAACCTAGTACCAATCGGCCAACAGGTAGGGTGGCATTGACCTGTAAAACTTTTGGAGTGCCATCTAACAACTGACAGATGTCAGTCCATAATTTGTCATCTGCTCCAAAAGCTACAACCTCATGTTGTAATAATCTTCCTATGTTTACGGGATGACTCAAATAAGTAGGCCTATGTGGCTTATAGCCTCACAGCTCAAATAATAGCTGACATAATTAAACAGAGGTAGTTGTAGTTATGACTACAACTGATTTTCATAAATCTGGTGTTTCATAACGTCATGCCTTATAAATGATGCTGTGGGAAAAGAATTACACATTTTTGCTTAAACCTTTCTGACTTCCTATTGCTTACAGAATAATGGCCGAATTCCTTCGCATGGAATTCAAAGCATTATACTAGACTTCTATCCTCAACCTACATTCTGGCCATGACGACACAGCACTTAGCTGACTCTGTAGACTTTTGTGACTCTCAACATCTGCCGGTCTGGCTCTGTGCAATTCAAGATGCATGAGCCTGTGTATTCTGCAAAGCCTGCCCCTCAGCAATTCTGTGAAGTGTTCCCAAAACTCACCACCACTCTACCACCACCACCAGACCCCCTGCGGAGGACAACTGCTTCTCTCCACTTGGCAGCCACTTTTACTGAAGCGCTGTCACCGTTAATAATACTATTAGTCTGCCTTCTCTGTGTAACTCTCTAACACTCCATGTCCGGAGTTCAGCGCTCCATTTATTGTCCAACCCTGTCCCTGGTATATAATTCTACTCCGGCACATAACACAGCACCCCAGAATCATTTATCTTTACATTTACCAACCCTATTCGACCCTGTGCTTCTTCAGAACACCATCTCGTTCATCATCATGTCCCCAGGGCCTAGCTGGTCCTTGATACACAGTAGGTGTTCAATAAATGTTATTAAATGAATAAACAAAAAAAAACAATTGCTCTCTGTCAATCAGAAAAAACTGGTACTAAGAATTCAGGTGAGACACCTGCTTCGTTAGCACTGAAGCAGGATCCTTCCTCTCCAGTGACCAAACCCTGGGAATCAAAGTGGACGGGCGGCAAACTAAGGTGACAGAGAAACTAGGGCGCTGCTGGGGAGGAGGCCGTCTTCCCGCAAAGGGAGAAGACAGGCCCTTTATTTTATTTTATTTAGTTATTTTTTAAATTTTTTTTTCCTTTATTGATTTTAGAGAGAGAGGAAATGAGAAGAAGAGAGAGAAACATCGATGTGAGAGAACATCGACTGGCCGCCTCCTGCACGCCCCCCACTGGGGATCGGGCCCACAGCCTGGCCATGTGTCCTGACAGGGAATCGAACCGGTGACCTCTTAGTGCATGGGTCGATGCTCAACCACTGAGTCTTGCTGTCCCCAGCCAGACGAAGACAGGCTCTTTAAACACCAAGCGCTTTCCTTGCCTTACCCCAGGAGGCCTATTCACACAGCAGGGACTGGGGCGGTGAGGAACGCTTGGCCAACATTCAACAAGGTGAGGCCCAGAGAAAATGCTTCCTCACCGCCACTAAGTGACAGACAAACGTCCATTTTCACGTAAACGTTTCCTCAGAGAACAATCAACTGGGAATATAACAGCTACATTAATTTTTAACATAAATTACCTGCATGTTCTTTTTTACAAAAACAATTATCTTCAACAGATTTAAACACTATTTTTACTGACCACATCGAGGTTAAAAATTTTTAACAAAATGTACCTTAAGCTATAAACATTTTAAGAATCAAAACTATTTTAAAAAGAAAAATAAATATAATGTTATTACATTTTGAAATTTTTAAAATCTTCATTTCATAACAATTATATGCTATACACATAAACGATGTATAGTTAATTTATGCAACACTGTTCATAGAAGCTTTAGCTGCTCTTGGCTTTTTTTCTTGCTGTCTCATAGTCAAGAAATGCTAGCACCTACAATATGCAGATGCTAGCCTTTATGTTAAAAATAAAATTTACGACCTGGTTGGTGTAGCTCAGCGGTTGAGTCCCGACCCATGTGCCAAGAGGTCACAGGTTCAATTCCAGGTCAGGGCACATGCCCAGGTTGTGGGCCCGTTCCCAGTGAGGGGCATGCAGGAGGCAGCTAATCGATGTTCTCTCTCAACAATGTTTCTCTCTCTGCCTTCCTCTCTCTCTCTAAAAACAATAAAGAAAAAAATGTAATAGAAAATAAAATTTACCAATAAAAATGTGGCATAAAGGTTTCTGTGGACTGCAATGTCCATTTTCTCTCTCAGGTCAGAGGCGTCCTCACCCTCCTTCTCTGTAAAGTAAATGTTAATTTGAGGAAGGGATATAAGAACACAGGCATAGTCCGTACGTGTTCTCTCTCATGCACTTTTTAAGTTCTGAGAAAACCTCTTCATGTTGTGCTTTGACTATAAGCTGCCTCAATTGTTTTAGAAAGTAAGCAGACATTCATTAATGATTGAATTTCTAACTGAGCAAGACTACTAACCATGTTTAAAAAAAAGATTTGTTACTGAAAATTATTTTGAATGCTATTGAAGGCTTCTTTACCTGCAGATGGCTGGGAAACATTCTTGAAGACCTTTCTTTTTAACAAGGGATCCTTCAAGGCAGTACATAATGATGTCCATAACCTTTATAGAAAGGATACAAATCTAAAATTAACTTCAAATACTTAATTTCCCCAAATTTAAATTATTAATGTAGGCCTCACTTGCACATGGAAATTCTAGACAGTTTAATTTTATTATTTACTGCAAAATCACAGTATATTCACTGTATACTATAAGGCAATCCTTTCTCTTATCTGTGCAAAACATTTATAAGACAGTGCAATAAAATAATGAAACCACTTATTTTCTTTAAAGGCTATTCATATTTACGTTCAGCGTAGTGACTTTTATTCAAGTACATGGTATGTTTTGTTCTATTTATAATGAAAGGTGTCAAAGAGAACATGACCTTTAAAAATTACTCTAATGTAGACCAACTAATTTCACGTAAATGATAAATGAACATAGCAATCATTCTGATTTTTGAGGAAATTTAAATAAGGTCTCTAGAAATGGTACAGAGTGAATTCATGTTAGCAGTCTCTTTCCTTCTTTTGGAGAATTATACTAGAGTACTGGGGTACTCCATGTAGGCGATGACGGGCCACTGAACACAGCGCATTCTTACCTCCACAAGAAGATCCACCACATCAGTAGGCATCTTTTCGATGAGGATCTCAATGACTCTCAGAATCTCCCCTTTCGCTCGCGCCAGGGCTGTCATGTGGATGCTCTGTTGCGACTGGGTGTTGGCTGCCAGGGCGGTGTGTCTGTGGACCTATGGAAACATTCTGTGCTGCTCATGTGGTTGACACACAGTTCCACATTTCCAGCCACTGGTTAGTTTTCACTTATTGCAATAGAAAAAGGAAAGAATCAACAAGAACCAAACCGCCTGGAGTGAGTCAGGAAATACTTTATATCACAAAAGAAGGTATTTAGTGTAATAAAAACTCAGCTAAGTCTTCTCTAATTAAATTTTATTCAGTTCCTGCCCTGGCCGGTTTGGCTCAGCGGTTAGAGCGTCGGCCTGTGGTCCAGAGAGTCCTGGGGTTCGGTTCCCACTAAGGGCACGTACCTCAGTTGCAGTTTGTCCCCAGCCCTGGTTGGGTCGTGCGGGAGGCAGCCACTCGATGTGTCCCTTTCACATCGATGTTTCTCTCTCTCTCTCTCTCTTTCTCCCTCCCACTCTATCTGAACAAAAAATGGAAAAATGTCCTCGGGTGATAATAATAAAAAAATTCTATTCAGTTCCTGGATACCTGAGACTTTAATACAATATCACCATGACATTTCTTTAAAAAGACAGACTGAAAGTTTGTGAGGTTGGTGAACTTGGCATTGAGGTAGACAGCAGGTAAGGGCTCCAGCAAATATAAGACATGACCTTGCTCTCACGTGATAACAGTAAATGGTGCTATAAGGCACCAGTCTAGCTGCTTCATAATGAAGCTGGGAATTCAAACAAACATGCCTCTGAAAGTAATGGGCACCGTAAATAATGTAGCTTTAGCGTGGTTTCCCCCTGGTATGAACTGTGAGTCTTGCATGGTTCAGAGGAGAAAGCGCATTACTGGGCCCTGGATGGCACTGGACTGGCCAGGGGGAGTGAGCACGGGGGTGGCGTGGAGACAGCCATACTAGTGAGGAGTGCTTCCGTATTTCACTCAAAAACTCTAAGCAAAGTAGGAAACTTGTTTTTAAAAGGTAATAAATTTGGACTATGCCATTAAAATATTTAAAAATTACCCTTTTAACTAAATGCTGGAGTAGAAGAAATCCAAAGCATGGCTATTCTAAAAGTTCCTTTAAAAATACTCATATATGTAAATGGTACAAATTAAGTCAAAAAACACAACGTAAATATTTGTTTACTTTCTTCAGAGACAGTTCAATGCCTGGCATTCACAGGGCCTGTATGCGCGGTCAGACTGAGGTAAGGCTCATTCACACCTTCAGTGTCACCATCTGTCCATATTCCACTGATGGGAAGAACTGGTAAAAATCCATGGCTAATAAGTCTGTTCATTTATACATACATACACTTGATATAAATACATCATATCTATAAAATATATAAACACATGCACACATATATGTATATTTTAAATACAGTAGGACCTTACTTTAATTCTGTGCACTATTAGACAAACACACACCCTGAAGTCTGCACGTTTATGTTAGCCATGAATTCCAAGTCCCACTGCCTCCCAGAAGCCTCTGCAGTCTGCTGTTAGGACCTTCCTCCTCCCCTCTGGCTGCCTCCATCACAGATATTTGCCCCACACCTATGGAGGATGGCTCCAGGGCAAACACAGGCCCTCTAGGTCTCAGGTTAGCAGAGCAGACTCAGAGGTATTTATTTACTATTTTAAAAATCCATCACAGCCAACGAAAAAACAGCTCAGGCAGAGTCCGTACCCCACGGACACCGGGTCTGCACATGACTCACGCTGAATGGAACAAACCTTTACAGAAGTTTAGGAGCTTATCCTTTCCTGACTCTGCCACTACTAAGACCCACAGGAAAGACCTATAATTGGCTCATTGTTCTTTGCTAGTTTTTCAGTTAGATGTGGGCAATTAGTTGGAACACTAAGAATGTGGAAATCAATCGGCATCCAAGTCTTTATTTGTGACATGAAATAGAAAAAACAATTAGCAAGTTTATGACTTACATTTTTGTTTACAGTTGGAGAACCAATGTTAAATAGGAAGTTTGGGTTTGATTACAGGTAGATACACTCATAAAATGCAAAGACCTTTAATATACAGGGTGGGGCAAAAGTAGGTGTACAGGTGTCCATATGGAAAATAACACATTAATTAATACATAATAATTCAAGAGTAAACTCTGTTCTGTGTATGCACCACTGTAGACCTACTTTTGCCCCACCCCATATTTTATTTTGAATAAGCCTGCTATGTCAGATTGAAAAATGATTGTTAAATGTTTACAAGTGAATTAACTTCCAGAACAGAAACGAATAGAAAAGCAGCAAGTCATGAATGCCCCGCGGTGCGGGTCAGTGCGCCTGCACACAGGCACATGTGTCTTCACTGCAGCACAGAGTTATTCACCTGCATTGTCTAGAAGAAACTGGAAGGGTTATTTGTGGATACGGCCCCTGGGCTCACCACATCCGATAACTGCTGGCAGGCGAGGAGGGCGCGCTGCAGCCCACTCACCTCCTTGGCTATGGTGGTGATGAAGGCGGGCGGCCTGGCGGTGGCGATGAGCGACAGGGCATGCCTGGCCGAGCGGGCGGAGTCAGCTGCCGGGCTCAGAGGCAGCCCCATTGTGATGCTAAACAGGGATCAGAAAAAAAGGAAAAAAAGAAAAGAAGCATTAGAAATATAGACTCTAAAGATTAGACACAGCTTATAATGTCAGTTCAAGGTCAATGGGAGCACTCAAACAGTGAGAATATAATGGACTTGCAACAATGAGCAGTGATTAGGAGTCAGGGTGTTCTGGCATCAAATACGAAATCGAATAATTAGCCGTGAAGATTGAAAACAGTACATGCATCTGTCCAAAGGGTTACAAGCGCCTTGTTAACAAATTACCAAGAACTAGTACTGAATACATATCACAAAGCTTGGAATAAGGCAAGAACAAATATTTTGCTGGAAAAAATTCCACTTTTTTCCTTAAAAGAATTAAAGGTGATTTGTTTATAAGGCTGCATTAAAAGGCTGTATTTAAGGCCACCTATAAAAAGGGAGCAAAATTCACTCCTGTCCATAAAATTATCACAAGAACTGAGAATGACAAAATTATTTTTAGCTTGTATACTATTTGTAGTTTAAAATATCCTTAGTACTGTTACTTTAATCCCACACTTAATACTTTTAGAATGAATCCACTAAGCAGTATGCTCTGCCATTAGTTATTTAATATTAATAAAAAATTATAGTAACTGATACTTAGCCCGGCATTGTCCTGGCTATTCATAAGAATATGTGCATGATAAAAGAAATCTTTCTAAACTGTGAGAATGTCCTGATAGGACAGTGATGTTATTTATATTCCTCTGCTAACCCAAAACATACCAATGATATTATTGTTTCCAGGCTCCCTTTATATAGACTACTGTGAAAAGTACTGACTTTTAATTAAAATGCAGCATGTGATCCACACATCAACTGTATACAAGGTGAATTTTATTATTCAGTAACAGATCCAATTACAGTTTGTCCCTCTCGTTAATAATTGTTATATTTAAATGTCCATATGAAGCTCTCAGATCTGTCCTGCTCTAATTAAATAAGTCTGTGTGCCGCATGTGTGAACTGGGTTATGTCTACTAAGAACTCTCAAAAAGTTTATAGGTATTTCTATAATTGATCTAAGAATCATTATTTTGTTTTAGTTGAAAATAATGATGCATTATGTAGGCACTCTCATCATTGTTACAAGAAAGGAAGGTGATCATAGAACGTTCTGCTTATAATTTCTGTGTGACTGTTAACTGCTCAGATCTTTGAGAATGTGACTGTCGAAGCAGGAACTCGGAGGAGAGGATGGAGAGACGGGGAGCCTTCCTCTGGATTTACTACTGAGAGATGTGAGCTGAGAGGAAACACACATTCACATGGAACAACAGACAGAGGGACGCCCTGGAGGGTGTCACCCCACGGAAGATCCTGGTGCCAGTGGCCCCAGCAGGGGCTGGAAAGAGGCGTTCAGCGGGAGAGCAAGGTGGGGTAGCGTAGTGAGCGTCTCTCCTGGATTCAACTTTAACATCGAGAACTCAGCAAAAGAAATGTTTACTCCGTGAGTCATGCTGGGGCTAGGCTGCTTAATAATTATGAAGTTTAGATCATATTTTAAGTCATGTTTTAAGACATTCAAATGCTCATTAAACTGTTCAGATACTGTTTCCCTTTTTTTCATCAATGTGAATGAATAGGCTGAAACAAACCAAAATGGTATGTTATCTAAACAAACCAAAATCAAATTTCATAAGATCAATAGAAATCACAGAATATTGGAGCTGGAAATGATCCCTCAGCCACACCCCTGCCCAGCAGAGAGCCAGGCAGAGAAGTGTCCACCTCCTGGGCAGCCCAGCCCGTATCTGGAGGACGGATCCGGAGGAAAGAAACTGGACGAGGAACCAAGGTCCAGGCTTCCAGTACTGTTACTGCGTGTCGTCTTGTATCTGCCCCCAAACAGCCCTACGAAGTGAGTGATATCAGCATGTCACAGAGAAACAGGTAGCAGTGAATGTCTTTCAGCACAGATGACCCTTGGAGAAGTAAAGGCAGGAGGGGCTTGATGATACTATAGTTCACTGTATTAATGACTGGTAATCTGACTAAGCTCAGTGGCCCGGATGAATGGCCTGACTGCATCCCTGAGAGCGGTTCCCAGTGGTGTGCTGTAACACCTGGACTCAGCTCTATCCAGTGTCAACAGTGGTTTGAATAGAGAAATGGCGGCACGGTTATCAACCGCAGTGGATATACAGTTGTCATGGAGAGCATCTGTACTAAAAAACAGGATTGGGATTCAAAAAGTCCTCAAAAAGATCCAATTCAGCTAAATAAAGAAGGCTTATATGACCACATGTGCGGGTATGGGATAGGCTTAGGAAATAGAACTGCAGGCTGTATTTGAACCTTGGTATCTACATCAGTGATGTGGCTGTCCACAGGGCTAGGCTGTATCAAGGAGAATACAGTGACAGAGAAGGTGCTACCCCGGCTGAACTTCAGGCTCTGGGTGCCTGCCTGCCCTCCCCACGGGTGTTAAGTGATGGGGTCTGGCTCTGCAGGACAAGTGCTGCAGCAGGTGACCTCTTGGACGTGGAACCAGAGTTCTACTTACATAAACAAACTCCGAGCAAACTCACACCCACTCTAAGTCCTCTCTTCCACACCTTCTCCTTGCATGAGGAGAAACATCTAGTGGAAAGCTGAGATGAGAGGGGCTGGGGCTGAGGGGAAGGAAAGAACGAGAATGAATGAATACACGTGTGTGCCCTAAGCAGGGGGTGGTCAGCTGACCGACTTTCAAGGCTCATGGCACAGTGACAGTGGATACCCCCCTTCCTCATGCTGTGCCCTGTGGCCACCCTATTCCGAATAAGCATAATGTCTGTGAAATGAGAATACTGAAATACCTGCTTCACAAGGTAGATGAGAAGATTTAATGAGCTAACAGAGGCAAAAACACCGAGCCCTCGTCTGACCTATATTATATGTACCAGAGACACTTCTGACCAAGGTGCCTCCACAAACAGAAACAGTGGAAGGAAAATGAGATCAACTAATAGCAGGTCATGGCCATCCTCCATCTCAGCAAATGGTCTTGTGGACTTGAGGGGACTGGCAACCTTCTTCTAGGAAGAGAAGTGGTCAAGTTTGGCGATGGGCGGGGGGAGGGGGTCTAGCAGAGAAGAAAAGTGGAGAAGGAAGCTAACCAAAGATGTCTAAGTATTGCCCACTGAGCTCAGTGGAAGCTGGAACAGCCGACACGCAGAGGCGTCCGTGTGTGCACCGAGTGGCTCCCACCAACAGCACCTGGCAGGGTGGGCACAGGACCGCAGAGTGTGGACGGATCTATTCTGCAGTCAGGACTCTCAGGGACCTTTAGAGCATCCACAACGTAAAAGCGGGAGAAGGGTTGTGAGTGTGATAACAGAAAGTTGCCAAGGCACAGGGAGAAGACAACCTTTGTCTCTCTCCTCTATGGTCTAATCAATGTGCCACTACCAGGGTAACCTTCCAAAAGCACCAACTTGATTTTATGGTTAAGCTGCTTAAAGACTTTCAGTGGTTCCTGCTGCTTCTAAGAAAAATCTTAAACTCCTTGGCATGAGACTCTAGTCCTCCATAATCTAGTTTCACTTGTTCATAACTCAGTCTTTTCAACAACAATGCTCCGGAGGCAAGCTAATTTCAAAAATGGTCACCAAAATTCTGTGCCTATTTCTACTGTAGTATTTTGCCAATGTTTCTCCCCTTAGTTCAACTCTCATGGAAGCCCGCCTGGTATTCTGTAATTGCTATAGCACTCAATTTTCTTCAGTTGAAACAAAATATTCCCCAACAACACCCATTTATTCTGGGCCCTTAGCCCTGCCAGGCATTATGAATTAGTATTGTATAGTGAACTCTGTACCCATTGGGACCATGCCTTCTAACCCTGTGACTCCCCCCAAAGTGCCTAGGAGAGGCCTTGGACCAAGTGGTAGCTAAATAGTTATGTACTAAATGAAGCTACCTGGCAAATTCAGCAGGAAAAAAAGTCATTTAAGCCAGTTATTTGACTGAATTGACCAGGCAATGAAGTCCAAGTAATTGATCTGGTAGTCCCAACAGACACGGCCTAATTCTGCATGTAGTTATCTTTAAAGTCAAGAGTGCATTGTGTGTGATATGTTTTAATGTGGGATTCTCACTAAACGAAGAAGGATCATATTATCAGAGGTGTGAAGTTAAAGGAAAGTCTGACTTATTCTGAAATCTGCATGTTCACAAAGAACTCCTTTTCATCTAATCCTGCTAATCTGCTGTTATGCATATCATTTGCTTCATAGGTTTATAGGTTGGGCATTTGGTTTCAGTCTTTCTTCTAAAAGAATATGATATGACACACTCTCTATTTTGCTCAGCATTTCAGAATACTCATCCCAAATGAAATACTCGAGATGATAGATATTATAAATAAAAACATGAACAGAAAAATGGCCCACTCAGGCTCAGCTCACTCCTTACATGACTGCTCATTAATCCTGTTCGAATCCTCATTCCACTGTGGCAAAAGCATTTTAAAAGTTACATTTGAGACAACTTCAGTTAAATGTCACCGTCTACAATTGTCAGACTTTCCTATCTGTCAAATTAAGGAATACTGTAAGGGAATATTCAAAGGGAAAAACACTTAAACTTTCATCGAATAGCCCACAAATCATGGCCAACAGTATTATGGACTAAATACTAGTGTTTCCGTAAATTTCATATTGTGAAACCCTAACCCCATGGTGATGGTATTTAGGGATGGGCCTTTGGAAGGTGACTGGGGTCAATGAGGCCGTGAGGGTGGGGCCTCGTGATGAGATAGTGCCATCGTAAGAGACACAGAAAGCTGGCTGAGTCTCTCCCAGGCACAAGCACAAGGAAGCCGTGTGAGGACACAGCAACAGTGCCATCGCCCAGAGGCCGAGGAAGCCTCAGAATGACACCTGCCTCGCAGCTTCTTGGTCTTAGACTTCCAAGCCTCCAGAGCGGTGAGAAATTATTATTTTTTTGTTCAAGTCACCAAGTCTATGGTCTTTCGTTATGGCAGCCTGAGCT